AAATTTTCGACATTCAGTTCTATGATTTTAACACATGTATAGATTCCTGTAAATACTATAAGATTCAGGATAGAAAACAATTCTGTCCCTTCCCCAAATTCCTCCTGTTGCCCCTTTATAGTCCCCTTCCCCTACCTTTAGCCCTCAGCAACCTCTGACCTGTTCTCTGTTACTCATACACTCTCTGTGTATGTGTGTGATTTTATAATTGTCTTTTGAGACTTTAAATAGATTCCTTTTTTCACTCAGTATGCCTTTGAGGTCCAGACAAGGTATTCCACGTATTAATAGTTAATTCATTTGCATTGCTGAGTATTTTTCCATTATAGTATTATAACATGGTTTGTAATCTAATCACCACTGACAGACATTTGTTTCTCTTGTAGTTTTTGATGATGATAAATGGAACTGCTGTAAACATTCATGCACAGGTTTTTGTGTGAACGTAAGTTTTAACATCACTTGAGTAAATACCTAAAAATGGTATACCTAGTTATACGGCAAGTATATATTTAGCTTTATAGGAAACTGCAAAAAGAATTTTCTAGAGTGGCCAGACCATTTTACACTCTCAGCCACAATGGACAAGAGTTTCAGTTGCTCCATATTCTACGTCTTCGCCACCATCTGGTATTGGTAGTATTTTTTTTTAAGTCATCCTAATAATCATAGTAGAAACTCATCATCGTCTTTAAAAAACAAATACTTCTTTTCCATTTTCTCCCTCTGAAAATCTATTTTATACTTTTATTAAAAGTTTCTTCTAACTTCTCACTGTATTCTAAGTGCTAGAGAATCTATGCCCTGAGGAAGATCAAACTCACTCCTTTGACATCTTTCTTTCCCCTCATTTTTGGTGATCCCAACCTCATTGTAGATACGATTTCTCTTTCAGAAGGAGCAAACTCATTTGGGTGGGTAGTGCTGGAGAGGAAGCTGCTAATGAAGAGTGAATCACCCACTTTGAAGCAATACCTCTATTTGATAGGGATCAGTCATGCTGACGCAGGTGTGCATGTGGTGTTACTGAAGAAGTAGAAATGGAGTATCCCAGCAAGATAGTGCACCTGCAAGTTATAGTACAAACCCAGGCTTGCTGTCTAAAGGAGATTTGTAACAAACATAGTGCATCTCAATATATGTTGACAATCTATACCGTGATGGGATTACACAAGTAGCTAAACTTGAAAGTCAAATTGGTATTTGCATATCTAACTCTTGGGCTGAACCATCTGTGGGCTAATTAATAATGATAATGAAAAGAGGGTAAAATTTGGGATTTCAATGCAAGGATATATTCTGAAAATTGCCAAGGCAGAGAGGGCAGAGAGGAGAAAAGTGAGGAGGGAGGTGGTGCTGAGAGACCAGCGAAAAATTAAATCTGGCTCCAGATCCAGTCCCTTGTTTTCCATTCTCTTGCAGTGGGCTTTGCAGTAGCCTCAAAGTGAACATAGGAAAAATGGCGACGAGATAAGCTGTGCAGAAGTGTGGAGATGAAAAGGAGGAAACTGCTGTTATGGCAAAGTTCATGGTGTACTGTACAGAAAGTGTTTAAATTTTATTCATTGGAGGCTTTCAAGTTTATCATGTACAATTTTAAAAAGTCTTGAAGAGGGACAATTTGACAGCACTGTAGAGGGTAGCTTAAGGGGAACTAGTTGGGTTGAACTCTTGAAAAAATCTTCATCTAACCTTAATAGGATTCTACATTGTCCATCATATCTAGCCAATCGCAACTCCTTTATTTTACAGTCACATCCTTTCTGCCTTAACCAGCATTTTGGGGGAGCTTCAATCCTGGGTTATTCGTGGTTCTAAATTTTCTAAATTATTCTCTACTAAAGAATGTTTGAAAAAATTATCTCATGTAGACACCATTCATACAGACAGTCAAGGGAAGTAGCTTAAATTTTTTCTCCCCAGTCAAAACGTGGGCAAAGGATATGAAGAGACACTTCTCAAAAGGAGACATTTATGCAGCCAAGAAACATATGAAAGAAACCTCATCATCACTGGTCATTAGAGAAATACAAATCAAAACCACAATGAGATACCGTCTCACGCCAGTTAGAATGGCAACCATTAAAAAAATCTGGAGACAACGGATGCTGGAGAGGATGTAGAGAAAGAAGAATGCTTTTAAACTTTTGGTGGGGGTGTAACTTAGTTTAACCATTGTGGAAGACAGTGTGGTGATTCCTGAAGGATCTAGAACTGGAAGTGTCATTTGACTCAGCAATCCCATTACTGAGTATATAGCCAAAGAGTTATAAATCATTCTATTATAAAGATACATGTATACGTATGTTTACTGTGGCACTGTTCACAATAGCAAAGACTTGGAACCGACCCAAATGCCCATCAATGGTAGATTGACTGAATAAAGAAAATGTGGCACATATACACCATGGAATACTATGCAGCCATAAAAAAGGGTAAGTTCATGTTTTTTGCAGGAACATGGATGAAGTTGGAAACTATCATTCTTAGCAAACTAACGCAAGAACAGAAAACCAAACACTACATGTTCTCACTCATAAATGGGAGTTGAACAATGAGAACAAATGGACACAGGAGGGGAACATCACATACCGGGGCCTGTCGGTGGTTGGGGGGCTAGGGGAGGGATAGCATTAGGAGAAATACCTAATGCAGATGACGGGGTGATGGATGCAGCAAACCACCATGGCACGTGTATAACTATGTAACAAACCTGCACTTCTACACATGTACCCCAGAACAATGTAAACCTTGGTTCCTATACTGTTATTTCCCATAAAAACAGGGATTCAAGTTCAGTGCAATGTGAGTCAGTGAAGCCACTCAGGCACTTCTCACTGCTAGGGAGGCAAGCTACTGCTTTCTCAATACTGCCCAACAGCCCCCCAAAACCCTAAGCACAGACTAAGTACCTTTCTCAGGGTTACATTTTTTTGATGGACTTGAAGAGAGAGAGCTGCTAGAATCTAGACATTTACAGGATCAGGACTGTAAGAAATACATAAACGAAGTCCATGAAAATGGCTAGATTCAAAATTCCTTACTGTAACACAGGGCCTTGTACATAGTTACTTAAAGTGTACTTACTGAGTTGGATCTCACCATCTAATTTAATGTAGCAGTTTTTCCTGCTTCATTTTCTTCTTTGTTATCAAAACAAGTAAAAAATGAGAAATTGTAAGAAAAAAAGGTTTTTGAAAGAGAAAAGCAGTAACAAACCAGAGGTAGAACTTTGAAACGGCTATAAAATGCTTGGCTCATGCAGACACAATTGTCACAGAGCCACATGGTGATGCCCCGCATGGTGTGTGTATAAATCCCTGTGGGTGGTAAGTTTGTTGGTACATAATCAAATCTACCTTTATTTAGAGTTCAGAGGAAAATTTTCCAACAGAAATGCTAATTGGCCACCAAGATCAACTTTTCATTCACCCTCATTTTCTACCTTTAAGTAGCTAGAAACAATATAGAAGACAGAAGCATTTGGAAACAAATCTTTTAACCACTGTATCTTCATTAAGCCTGTAATGAAGGCTTAATTACATACACTTGGTCAACGATCTCACAATAACTTTACAAACTCCAAAAGTCAGACATTGTAATGCCGCTTTTTAGTATTACTTGACATTACCAAGCCTCACGCGTCCAATGACCCCATCAACAATAACTCAGTCGTTCTACATTTTCTGAATGAATCTGCTCATCTAACAGATTAAAAATGAATAAACAAAAATTGATGTGTTAGTATCAGATTGTGTTAGCATGGTCTTTTCAAAATATCAGCATATAAAACTAACCCCATCATTTTGGAGACAGAATGGCAGGCTTAACTTTAAAAAAGAAAAAGTAAACAGTGTAAGATGAGTGAGCAAGATACCACATTAAGGAATACATTATGCGCCTCCGCAGTTCATCTCCCTATCTAACGCGGTATCACATGCAGGGCTGCGGCACAAGATAGCCTAACCAGTACCAGATTGACCTGCCCAATCCACATTAGTAATGATATCTAGTTTACGTACTCACGCAAGAGTATGTTTTTAATTGACTGCGTTTCTAAAAGCTTTTGCAGAATCAATTCTATCATCTTCAATGTTTTGGCTATAAGGTTAAGGGGGAAAATCTCCTTTTTGAAAAAATTGGAGCATTTCTCATTATGTTTCCATTGTCAGAAACCAAGTTTGAAATTTTAGAAAAGTTGCAAAGAATTACACCAGTCCCATATATTTAATCCCATTT